CAGTTTGTTTTCTGAGAAGGAAAAGGGAAACAGGATTCAATATTCTCCTTGAGCATCTCTGGCACATAGTAGCTGAGATGACAATTCAAAATGGATTATTTGTTTTCTCCACTGTCATCACCATCTTTTCAAGTAGTAAGTTCTACTAGTCCACACCCCATGCCACATGGTAACAATAATTGATGTTGTCATCATTGATCTTACCAAACCATCCACGTGGCCGAAAACTCGCCGGTGCAGGCTTTACAGAAAGTACAGGTCATGGTACCTCTGTCCATGTTAGATGCTAAACTGTAGCTACAAAGATAACTCTCCAAAAGACCAACTGGCTAAATTTCCATGCGGAAGAGAAAAGATACAATTTTCTCAGAGCAACAATAATACAATTTGTTTGGATTGTTCTCAGATTCAGATTCTTCTTTTCAACCACATTATTCAGATTTTCAAAAGACTAGGCTTTTGTCCAACTTAAGATGGAGGCTAATTCATCTAACAGTCTGAGTGGGCTTCTCAGAACTTGATGGTTCTGCTAAGCACATTGAAAAGTAATTCAGCAAGCAGTGAGAACCAGAAAGATTTTAGTACACTAATTCCAGACTTCCAGCAGGGTTCTGAATAAGGTTTGGTTTAATTATTTGATGGACGAGTTCAGTATTGAATGGGGTCCTGACTCCTGAGTCGTTGATTGGTTTGGTTCTAATAGGGCGCAATAAGGTGTGGTGCAACTTTGCTACTTTTGGGGTTCACTAAACAAGTACCTGACTTCACCAAAGACCAAGCCAAGTTCTGAGGGAGTAGTCAGAGAGATGATGACCATATCTGAAAGGACCGGACAATTTAGAGTTGAGATGAAATGGGCTGAATCAATATTGTCAGAGGAGTCTTATTCAATTGGGTTGAAACTTGAAAAGGTTGAATCTGTGCCTCTGGGGAAACCTGAGTCATGCATACACGGTTTCTCTTTTTTCTAGGAATGCTAGTGCCACGAGATTGGGCTCCACATCGTGGTTCTTGTAGGGTTAGCATTTCACCTTCACATTCAATTGGTTTGAGGGAATTCGTTTAAATGATTTTTTTTTTTTGGTAAGAACGTTTATTATACGTTATTTGATTATTGTATTACTACTTTCACAATATTTTATTATTTAATTATTAATGTGTTGTTATTGTTTCATGAAATGTTTATTAATATTGTATTATTATTTTATTAATTTAATTATATTGTGTTTATTTTTTATTTATACTTTATTGTTATTATTATTATATTTTAATAATTAATGTACACGCTTGTTATTATTAATTTAATAATATTTTATTAATATTAGGGTTCGGGTTTTTTTTTTTCTTGTCATGAGTTGTTCACTTATTGACAGGACAAACAGTTCGAATTAAATTCGTCATTCCGATTCCAGGCATCTATCTATTCCAGAAGACCAAACGGACCCTTAATTGATATATATGTATATATATTAATATAATATAATCAAATTCAGATTTTAATCGGATTGAATGGAATTAGATCTACATCTTATCCAATTATTAATCAAATACAAATTTTAAACGGTCAAATCTAGGATAATCGGATTGGATGTCAAATGGGGTATGGGACTTTTAGAATTCATTGGCAACCCTACTTAATAATTGAACCATAAGAAATCAATGCCAAAATGAAGTTTTTTATATTCATCTTAAAATCAAGTCTCCACATCTCATTATGAAATTCGTCCCGTATATATTATATTATTATTTCAACAAAGCTGATTAGACGTTACAAGGGCGTTCAACCACAAAAGAGCAAAAGAGCAAAAGAAAAAGAAAATATCACAAAATAAAGATGATTGTATTGGGTAATTGACTAGAGATCTGCTTGCCATCTGGATGAGAGTGAGGGAGGGGGGAGGGGGGAGGGGACTGGCCCAGTACTACGGGTAGAAAATCAGTGGATTATTCAAACTCATGACTGAAACTACAATAAAAAACTCTCCAAAAGTATAAACTAGCTAATGGAGAATCTGTTTCATAATAATTTGCAGAATGAGAACCCAAAAGGGTACATAGACAATAGCCACGCACACAGGAACAACGAGTTTCAGAAAAGAGTTGCAGAACGAGAGGGCTTTGGGGTCCTGACTTCTGACTAAGGCATGGTTCAATCATTTGCTTGCCCAGAGTCATGGGTCTATGAGGTACTGAGTCGAGTGGCCTAATTCAACTGGGGTACGTACCTTAGCCTTTTTAGGGTTCATTCACAATGGCCCTGACTTCATGGACTAAGCCAAGCCTAGCTTTGAGACAGAAGTCAGAGAGATGGAGTGGACTATGTAGAGCCCATTAAGAGATGGGCTCAATAATTGTGAGAGAGGATGAATCAGTAAATGAAGTTAAGAAAATTTGGTTAGTGGCAGGATTTGTAAGTTGAAATAGGCAGAGAGGAGGTTGGGCACTTGGGCCAAGCCAAGTCTTAATGAATTAAAGGGGGCCTATATTGGTGTTTATTGTTCATGGGCCAGCAGCATGATTGCTTTGTGGTGGTAGGCTTGGCTGGCACTTGGGTCCCAGGAGGTGCTTTAGCCAATGGGCCTAATTGGTGGGCACCCCCTCCTCGTGAATGACCCATGAGTGGCACGAGACATGGGCCACTGTGCTCTTCAGAGGTGAATATTGGGTTTCTCCCAGAGAATGGACAAAGAAACCTTATTCTCCAGCTGGTTTGGCCTGGTTTTTGGAGTGCCATACATCAGGTGTTTGCCCCAGAACACAATCTGGTTGAGACAAAAATTCTTCTATTATAGATCAGAATTGGAATCAGGTTGCCCCGGATGAACTTGAGTGATGGTTAGTCGGGTTATGTCCCGACCCGTTTCAACCCATCATTGTCATTCGAGTCATTCCTCATCCTCAGCCCTCACTGAACTATAATTGATTAAGAAGACAGATGGGATTCTTCCACCTAGGAGTCCATTATTGAATCTGAGACTTTTTAGGGTTCAAAGTTGAAGCAGAGTTTGTCTTTTGTCGATAGTCCGGTCTACAGTGCACAGTGGCGGGTGGGAGAGGATATCGATGAGCACAACCATAGATGTGTTGTCTATTATGGCAAGAGATGTGGGGCCATGGAGGTGGTGGGGTGTGTGGGATTAGGGGTTGCACGTGGGCTTGATAAAGCTGCCATTTGACCCATCGCACTCTGTCGGGTCTCGGGTCGAGTTGGCAGCTCTTGAGTGGCAGGCAACAGAATATAAGTTTTGGGATTCATCTCCCGTGCAGACAATGCCCACGTCTGATTCTGACCCACAAAAACAAACAAACTTCTTCTCTCCTTTCTTCTTACCTCTCCCACTTCTCTTTCTCTCTTTTTGATCAAACCAAACAAGAGGCTATACTGTTGGATTTAGACCCATCTTTGTCCTTACACGTGGCACACGTCTATGTTGGCTGGAACCCATAATTGTACTGGACCCCAGAAAATGGAGTTCTGATCATAAATGGACAAAGAGATATTAATCTGACTAGTCATGGTAGTACATCTTTTCAATGTAGTCAAAAAGAATTGTCAAACCAAATGATCAAGGAATGGATTAAATTGGATGCAGGATTCACTTATGAATTTAACTAATTGGTGTAGTTCTGAGCTTGAGATTGGTCTTATATAAGATGGGGGATTTCTCTTGTTTGCTCATCACTTGTTTCTTTATATTCAGGACTACATGATTTTGGCTGATCAAGTGGTCCATTTTCTCTAGTAAGAAAATGAATTCATCAAGCTAATTGGTTTCAGAGAAAGCATAAAAGGAGATCATCATGCTTGACTCATCCACTAGCTCAAAAAGATGATACCCAACTTTAGTATACCCATGAATCTCATTGTTGTACCATGATATTGGAAACTACTTTGATAGCTTACTCCGGCAGTGGTCGACGTTACCGGAGACTGGCTGCAGGCCTGTCATTAGATACAATTTAAGTGTGATTACTAGTTTATAATACAATCAACCAAGCCACCAAGTTAAACCTCAATTTTTTTTGGGGATAATTTAGTAGGCTAATGAAGTAACAGTAGAGAAGACTGAACGGTTCAGACTTTACAAAAATTGGTATCCACATTGACTAGATCCAACCGGGAAAAAGGGTGCTCTGATAAATCTCCTCCAAAAGAAAAACTTTTCTTGTGGATGCAGCAAAAGAAGAAAAGGTGGGGGCCCTGGGGATGTCCTTAACTCACTGATTTTTACTCTAACCAAAATTACAATATTTCACTGAATCCACAGTTGGGCTGTTTGTACCTTGTACGAATTGTTGAAATAATTTCTCTGCCTTCATTTTAAAGCAGGTAGTATTTTCATCAAACGTCCTGGATTAAGCCCAGAATTCTTTACCCAACTTTCCTTTGTTTTTGATGAATTTTTACCCAACTTTCCTTTGTTTTTGATGAATTTTTACCCAACTTTTCTGAATGAATCCAAAAGTTGTTTCATTATATTTGAATCTGAAATAAGCAGTACTCCAGAAAGGAAGGGCTACTCTGAGTTTATACAGATTGCGTTACAACTCTTTGTTAAACCTGGAGCAATCTCAAATTTCTGTGTTAAACTCTCCTTAGTAACCTCCCCCTACCAAAAAGAAAGAAGTTTTGCCTCTATATGCATCTCAACTTTTGAGTTTATGGTTTAGAAAAGCTTGGAAAAAGAAAAGAAAAGAAAAGAAAAGAAATGGGTAATAGATAGATCAGTAATCAGTGCTGAAGAAAGATATATTTTAAGATTATCAACCATAGGCTAGAGGTATAGGCTTCAGAAAAAGAAATGAATCAAATCAAATGAGCAACTAAAGGTATGTGGGCATCTATCGAATGTGAAGTTCCCAGTAGAAAGAAAGACTGAAAGAAGCTAAGAAAGGAGGAAGAGGAGAGAGAACTTTTAATTTAAAAAACACAAGTTGCATTTAACTATTTATTTATCAAACTCCTAGATTGATCTCGAAATATTCTTGATGAAACTTCCTTGAAGAAACTCAGAAATTCTTTCACTTGTAATTGGATCTCAAGTACTGAAGAAAGATTGTCAAAGAAATGAGTTAACTCTATACTAATACAAGTTGCATCACAACTATCAAACCTCCTGGACTAGTCTCAGCTCTCAGGTAGTCCTTTCACACATCACACCTGCTGGAATATCAAACACCGTAGAAGTGTAACAGATCAGAAGCACCGCCGATTTTGAAACAAACCCATGATAGAGATATGGGCTTGACAAACAAAAACAGAAACCAGAAACAGTAACTTCTAACCCTGTGTCGAGGCCAGGGTTTTGGTGGCCGGAGCTGAGCAGTGGTTGAGATAATTCACCAACAAAAACAAGAACAAGAAAGGTTTGTAAGATAGAAATCTAGCTTCTCATTAACTTTGTTCCCATATACAAACAAGCCCAAGAGGGAAAAACTGATACAAAAATTTGCAATTCTTGAGAAAATTCGCCTTCTGCTATGTACACTCAAAAAAGGAAAAAATAAAAGAAGCGCCGCCTACATTGATTCATGGCGACTGGTAAAGACAGTCAGATCATCCTTATGTAGAGCCTGCTTCAATCATGCCAGCAGAGGAGCATGATTACACATCTCCTTATTATGTAAAGCCTACCTCTCTGCTCCCTGAGGATTCCTCCGAGTCCTCTGCTAGACAACCTTCTCTTGGAGCCTCCAATGGTGGCACTGCTCATCTTCATCTTCTTGAATTGATGTGGGAGAGAGACTGTTTTCTCTCTTTTCTACTTGGAATGACTTGGTTTGCTTGGTGTGACTTGTGAGTGAAAGAATGTGGGAATTATCCTTGTAATGTTGAACGGAATGGAAGGGTAAGGCCTTCTTATAGAGCATTGAGGGCGTGGTCCTGGATAGCCTTGGTCTACCAAAGGAGCATCCAGGAGAACACAATGCCCCCAAGCTCACCGAACAACACACTCTGGGCCCCCACCCACTTTGATTCCTATTCCAACCACAAGAAAATAGGTAAAAGAAAACAAACCCCCCCCCCYCCCTCTCTCTCTCTCTCTCTCTCTCATATGTCAAAGTCGTTACCTTCACTCGTGTGGGCAACGCCCACCAACGTAAAGGGTCGGCAATTACTTTATTGGAGAATGGAGAAGCCAATTTCTTTAGTTTTAAGCCATTTCAATTTGTTCATGATGGGGTGATAACTTGAGGAAGAAACTCATTTCTTTTCTTCTTGATGGTTCCACAGTTCCACTTAGATAGGGAATGCTCATGACTGGATCTTTTATTCTCTCTCTCAAATCCCACCTTCTCATATGTTTGATGAGTTAACAATAATAAGAATTAACTACTCTAGCTCTGGCTTATGTTATGTAATGGTTGATAAGGGTAAGCCTGTTTTAGTGATCACTGATGGGTCACCACCTTCTTTCCTTTCCTTGTATTTTCTCACTCCCTTCCCCCTAACTTTGCTTTTGGGTACATTGATTGGTCCCTTTAAACGGTGATGGTCATCTATAACTAGTCCATAAGCATCAATATCAGGACTAGGGCAGGAGGTCAGTATCCATCACATATCCACATGGTGTGTTGCAGTGAGTCAATATTCAAAAAAATTGTTTGTTATACTTGAAAATGATTTAATGGGTTTCTTTGGATGGTAAAACTTAAGCGCTTAACATAGATATTTGTATCAAACACTTCTTCCAACCATCCAATTGTATCGAGTCTATTGACTTTTGTTCTACTTCTACATGACACACCCATTTTATGGTCTGTAAAGGTTAGCCAGAAGAGTAGACATTACCCTTTCTTTTCCCCATGAATGTAGACTTTTAAGAAACGTGATTTATGGAACACGCTATAACACGTACACATGCTAGCAACCATTGATTGGAATTAGAACCTCATCGGATTCCAATCCCATGGCTCACGACACTTGTTTAATTTCTTTTGAATAAACAGAACTGTGGGCAGTGAGTGAGCTTTGGGTTTGCATGACCAAGATTCCACTTCCATACCCAATTGGGAACTATTTTTAGTAAATTTCTTCTCTAGAGGAGCCCAAAACTCAAAGTAAACATCGAACCCTAAGGGAGAGTAAGGGACATTTTCTTGCACCCAACTTCCTAAGCTCATTTATTTAACCAAAACTACTTTCACTTAAAGCAAATAAAAATCCCAGTTGCTTGGTCTGTGCTCCCCATTCCACAAGGGACAACGACTTCCATTCGCTTCATTCAAGTAAAAAAGAAAGCAATAACGATGAACACTGAACAGTTCGCTCCATTCAAGTAAAAAGAAAACAACAACAATGAACACTCAACAGTTCGCTCCATTCAAGTAAAAAAGAAAGCAAAAAACAATGGGACCATTCGCTTCATTCAAGTAATTGATGATCAATATGTGACTTCTTATGGATTATACAGTTCAGAGTTAAATTGATGGATGGAATAAAAAATATTAGGGTTTGGGTGGGGAGACGCCCAAGGGCGGGGGCCTGAACTCTGAAGGAGACCAGGGAGATTAAATTAAGATAAACAAAAGGGGTGATGCTGGGGTTATGGGTGTACCTAAAACTATTATATAACATGTAAGCAAAAGCTAGTTGTACTGTACGGGTAAGCCAGTGGTGCACGTGAAGGTGTTTTTAAATACGGCCGTTGCCTGTTATGCAGGTGGCAACCTTGACTATTTTATTTTTATGGTTTGAGTTGAGTCACCTCCACCCATCTTCACCTTTCTTGTTAAAGCAAGTTACTTTTTAGGTGTTCCATCTTCAGGCTTCAGCAGTCACCATTCTTGTTCTTCTTGTTCAAGGAGCTTCGTGTTTATCACTTCATCACATCTTAAGGGTAAGGATTTAGGAATTGGTTAACATGGTCATTTATTGATTGATTGATTGATTGATTGAAAGTTGGAACACAAATGTCCATGTGAGAAGAAGAATGGTGGGTTGTTGTACGAATTGATTGGAAAGTACGTACAGATACAGTTGTTCCTTGGGTTTTTAATAGAAGAATTACGCAGATGATGATTAGGGGTATGAGATGCATGGGTTATGTGTGAATTATTATGAGTACGTTCAGGTTTTGGCACGTTTAAATCTCACTTTAATTGTCAGTTCATGTTGACTACCGACATGTAAATTGTAAAGATGCCAGCTGGGTTTCTGCTATAAAAGGACAATTGGAACTTTAGTTACAATTTTCATGGGGCCGGGTAAAAAGTAAGCACAGTTGATGAGCTTACAATCTTGGGTCTGATGAGGGTTTTGCCACGCTTCATAATACTTTATACCTGGAAGCTTACAGTGTCATTTTTATATGTTATCTTATACATTTTAATTCCTGCATTTCTCAGATCAGTTTTCTTTTTTTTTTAATTATTTATTTACTTTATCATGCCAACCATGCTTAGGTCATGCACAAATTATAACCAATAATTTCAAGAAGAAAATGGGAAGCGTCCAGGAGCCATGAGGAACCATTAACTTTGATAGATTGGAACTGATAATCAGAAATTCCTAGCAAAAAGTTCTTTCTACGCGTTTTTTTTTTCTTCTCCAATCCTTTTTAGTATTTTATTTTACCTCATAAAATTATGCACAACCATTCCTAAATCCTAATTGATCTGTTTTAACTCGTGCTGTCCTAAAAGTTGAGACAAGCTTATTGAATTAAAGCATCCAGTATCAAGAATTTTTGACTGGTTTTAAACACACGAGGATTCTGGAAGGAAAAGTAAGACCATATGCATGTGGCGCATGTACCTGCTGGTGTTCACACAACAACCAGTGTTTAGGGTTAACTTATGGCATTCTACGTATTGGTGGGTGATAATGGGTTGGGAAAGGTGAGCTGAATCTAAAATGAATAATGGATTAAACTCAACATGACAAATTTGGGTTGGGTTAGCTGCTACGTTTCTGGAAAAGTGGGTCAAGGAAGAAAGTTTGGGGGTAGTACCCAAATTAAACCAGATTGGTCCTAGCCAACTAAACCTGGGCATATTGTGTGGCCTTTGATGGATTGGGCCAAGAGTTGAATGTAGAGTATGAAACTCATTATGCAATTCTTCTACACTGACTTGTCAAAGCAAAAATAAGGTGCAGCTTTTGACCGTGTGAAAAGGTGTATATAAGAAGCAAAAGTTGACATGCATTTATGCCTTTTTTTTTTTTTTTTAAATTCAGTTGTCACCTTTTTGGTAGGCAACTCCATGTAACATTAAGCAATCAAAGATTTAAAAAGGTCATTATTAAAAGCCACTTCAATCATAACATACTGATAAAAACAATGCTGCTAATAACAACAAACATGGTAACTAACAACCAACAGCCAATTAATAACAAGCATGGTAACTAAAGTATTAATGCTAATGCTTCAAGAGGGAACAGTGCTGCTAAACTGACAGGCATGGTTGTTACCAACCAGCAGCCAATTAATATATGTCAGTCGTGTGGGAAGCAAGAATGATGATGTTCCGCTCTGGTAAGTAACTAGTTTGCACCTAGTTTCATGGTTTTGCACAGAATCCTGCCCCAATTTAACATAAAATTTATAAGCCCTTTGTTATATACATTTAAAAATACTCGGTTAAAGAAACTCTAGGAACATCTTAGAAAATGTCTTTAAATTCTTATAACAGCCAGATTCTTGGTTAGCTTTCTTCCAAAGTGATCTCTAATGCAATTTCTAAATTACGGTAGTTGGGTTGCATGGATCTTCTTTCTAAGAGCATGTGAGTTTGCACGGCAAGGTCTCAGAAAACACAAATTTGGAGCATATCATCATCCTTATCTAAAGTAATGGCATGAGGGAGCTCCATAGTCCATTTGATTGCTCTAATATGGATGCAAGTATTCCATGTTTTTTCTTGGCTTCAATCGCAAAGGATAAGCAAGGTAACATCAGGACACAAATGATGTCTAAGCTATTTTTTCCCTATAGAAATACACGAAATGTTATACACTAAACTATATGGGGTTGGCTACATGAATCCTGTTTTGGCAATCTGTTCTATTTAAAGCGATATGAATTGTTATCCATTAACTCTAAAACTAAACAAATGAGTTGCATTCCCTGGAAGTTGTACTGCTGGTCTATGGCAAGAAAGAGATGATGCTAAGAGTAATTTACAAAATACTCTTGCATTGTTTGTCTTAGGTCCCTACCTTATTGGAAGTTTCACCATATCACCTTCTGAAACTTGGTCACATAAAAGACTTGAACTTCAAAAATCTCTGTTTTGGGGAATTTATACCGACATATCTGAGCAGATACCAGTGTACCATTACATTATCAGATTTCTGATGCAACTGATTGTCCTCCAGGTGTCCATATTTCAATCATTTTCTCTCAAAAAATGTCTGATCCATTGTTAGATGCATGAGGATGATGCTTGCTGCATATATTGCAAGTTACAACAGAGAATTCAGTAATAATCATCATAAAAAATGAGTGGAAATATAGATTAGAATCTATACACAAGGTATGTTACAAACCCATACTGACATAGTGGGTTACAGGTTTACTGCCAATTGCATTGAATAGATTACACATTTTCATGACAAATAGATTCACTCAATTTGCAGAGCAGAAATACAAACATATATGACTTAACAATGACATGCAATTGACAATGGCTTTTGGAATATGAAGTAAGATATCCTTCTCGAGACATTAATATCAAAGGCACCATATGCAATGGATAAGTATTTCGTGACTATCAAGTAGATACTTGATTTGAGTATTACTTCAGAATGGACCATCTCTCACAGTGCACTCTTCCTGATCTTGAAGTGCAAAGTAGCAAATTTCCTTAAAAAAGCTAAGATAATGGTTATATTAGATACGAGTTATTGATGCCTTATCCTGGATATATGGTTTTACATTTTTAGGTACTAAATAGCAGAAGTTTAGGATTTAAATATATGCCTAACATATTTATAACCCTGCCATTTTTTTGAGGATATTCTATCTGTAATTTGGAAAAGGTTTTAGGGTAGGATAAAATGAGTATCTTTAGGGACTAAAAAAGATGGTTGATGGTAATTGATAATAAGAATAAAGTTTTACAAGGGGGATGGTTAAGAAATGATTTTTGATCTACAAGGAGTTGTTAAATCTTGTCCTTATTAAAAAAGGTAAAAAAATGGGGGGACATTGCTTGGTGCAATGATAAAATCTCATACTAGCAAGTGTGAGAATGCAGGTTAAAGTCTAAGAGTGTCCACTTTGTGCAAAAAATGCCAAAGGTTAGGTCCATATTAAGTCCACCCCGTCCCAAGATGACAGATAGCCAGGACCAACATTGGATAATGCCATTTTATTCAAGAACTTCAGGAGTTCGAGAACAAGACCTCTGATCACTCAAAGGATCAGTAAATTTGAATTCTATTCATTCTCGAGTAGTCATAATCCACAGGCCCCAAGATCCTTCCTAACCTAGCCAATCCCTAACTTAAGTTCTAAATCATCCTTAAACCCTATTCTAGATAACTGGTTCCTTCTTAAAGACACCCTTTAAGTCATTACCCCTACAACTCAGGATTGGAGTAAGTAATCGTACATAACTTACTCCAACACCCTGCACCATCTTTATAATTTCTACATTCAAAATCTCCTAATGTAAAAGTCAACATGTCCGTCGTGGATTTGATTCATTAGCTCTCTAACTTTTTATGGAAATTATAGGTTAAATTTCATTTACAACTTCTAGCTGTTTTAAGCACTAGTGAAGGTGCATGGTGCCAATGGGTATTTTTACTATTTTATCAATAAATAAGAATAAAAGGTTACACTCAGCTAAGGGGAAGGGGCAAAGAAACAAGATGGTCAAAATTTCCCATCCAAGAAGACGGATGATAAATATTCAAAATAAAGACTCCATTTATCAGAGTTTAAAGCATTCTTTATGGAAAGATATTGAAGCATATTTCTATATTTTTCAAGAGAAACTGCAGAGTGCAGTCGTACTCATTTGAATAGGACAAATGCACTACAAAAATATACAGAATCAACAATCAAGGTTGCCCGACTAATAAAGGCCATACCTGGGAAATACACCATATGCAGAGGGCATAATGGTTGCCGCTAATGCCAATAAAGGCTATATTATTTCCCAGTCTTAAACACTATGACTTACTTGGACAGGTGCATACTCAAGCTGTAGCTTGAGCAGGAAAATATTAAACAAATAAATCATTTTTGAGATCAAGGATAAATCATGACATTTTTCATTGTTGAAATAATCTAATGCAGTTATTTAAAATTGAAGGTGTTACATACTATTGATAGAAGGATCGTCCACAAACAGATAAAGAGGTATTAACAGCAACATAACAACAAAATAGTATAACTGAATTGATATGCATAGGGAATATGTGGTTGAGTTTAGCTTAATATTGAATTTACCAGATATTATTATCAGATGAACTTGTCGCAAGTAATGAAGTCTTCAACTCTTCAATATCATCCAATAATTTCTCATTTTCCCAATTTTGATGTTGTATTTCAACTTCCAAGGCTGCATATACCAACATCTTACAATAGAATACATAATTAGAGATGCATTCCTAACAAGATTATCCAATATATTGAGAAAAATATACCTGAGCAGTTTGAGCATTTTGTCAAAAAAAATGGGCATAGTACTGTGCTATAAGAAAATGCTATGACCAGGATTAGTCAAAAAAAAAAAAAGAAGAAAACCTTGATACTGAAGAAAAGAATAATATGACAATGATGACAGGTAATGGATACTCCAATCCACTTCAATGCCACTTCTTGGATATGGTTATAATGATGTCAGATGGATTTTTATGCCACTATATGAATTAAATTCAACACCTAGAATCAAGGTGGTATGGCTTATAGGATCAATAATTTCTAATAATTCCTTCAAAATGTTTCATTTCCATGTCTAATAAATAAAATTGTAAGTTGTAACATTTCCCTAACAAATTTCCAATGTTTGGATATAATTCATAACGTTCTAGGGGAGATTTTTGTAGTGAGAGGAATTCTGTCCATATCCTTTTTTTGTCAATGATTCTGTTAATATCCTTGCGCATCAATGAACATCCTCTCATGTACTCTTCTATTTTTGATATCTAATATAGTTCTCTTACCTTCTCTCGAGAAAAATATAGCACTAATAAACACTGGATAGTTGATGCTTCTAAAACACAGTTTTTCTTCTTTCCTATTATTGCTTATTCTTTTAAACTCCCAATAGTTCTCATATTAGTTGTAACCACCAAAAGGAACTATGCTTTACATGATCTTACTATAAGAAGTTCTGAACATTTTAACTTTGGCCCGATGCAAGTAGCTTAAGAACCGTAGCTCTGTCTCCAATATTAGTCATATGCACCTGTTGACTAGATCTCATAGCTAATATTTTCTTAAACCATATATGGCTATAAAATGAAGCAAGGATAAACAAATTATATGTACTAGAAATTAGTGGAAGCAGACTGATATCATAAAGAAGAAAATTGAGTTAATTACAAACTCCATGCAAGTAAAAATATAAAAAAAAACTTATAACTGATTTGTTTGTTCAAATATGGAAGCATACTGCACGAGAAAAGAAAGTTTCTAGTACCAGAATTAGAATTGTGAAGCTCCTCAAGGGTCACTTCCACAAATGCAGACATTGAATTTCTCAAAGCATTAACTTTCATACTCAAATTGTAATTTTCATTTTCCAAAACCTCTTTCTGTGACAACAGTTTCCATAATTCATCATCTTCTCCCTTGGTAATGTCCCCTTGGAACTTTCTGCATAGAATAATAAATGCTTCCCTAGACAAAAATAATGCAACTTAATTAATAACAAACAGCATATGCTTCAAAGGTTTATTACATAAATGGATTTAAATCATTAAACTCAATTATCATCATAACTAATTTTAATGAAATCTGATTTTGAACTTATATCTAAGCCTTTTAGGGTATTTGTTATAGGTTAGAAACCTTGCCTGGTGCAATGGTAAAATCCCGGGCTGACAAGTGTGAGAATGTGGGATAATATCTGAGAGAAGCTACTTTATGCAAAAAATGCTGGAGGTTTGGTTTGTATCTGGTCCACCCTTCTCAAGACCCCAGATTAGGTAATGGTCTTATCTCATTAGGGTATTTGTATTGGTAAACTATATTAGTTGACAAAATATTAGAATTAGACCTGAATCTCTAATATTTATATTATGTTATAAATTGTTTTTATGGGTATCAAAATGAAGGCATGTTGGTTAACAAACATCCATATCCACAAATAATATATTTCTATATGGATAAGTAGAAATAGGTTATATGTGCATGCATGAAAAAAAGCAAAAAATAAATAAATTAAATGAAACTTGTAGTTTAAGTCTTATGCAGAACAATCATTTTGTTCAGGAAAGGCATTTTCATTTTTTCACATGTTTTTTCTTAAGAATTTGAAGAGAAGGGTCTATATTTCTACCAAAAAAAAAAAAAAGAATAAATAAAAATACGAGAGAAGGGTCTACTATAGCATAGAGACTAAAGTCCTGAATCTTGATTCCAATCAAGGAGAAAAGAATGTAGCTTTCAACTGATCAAAAAAAGAGGAAGTTTCTTTGACTTTGACATCTGACACCCTCACAAAGTGTTCTAGAAAGAATCAAGAAAAGAATATAAACACAGAATCTGAAATAGAAGTGAATACGGGAATGAAGTATAGGAGTGTTATCATCCAACAATAGATTAGAACAAACATGCAATACAAACCCAGTTGCCCACATCAAATCCAATAAGTCAAAAGAAAAAAAAAATGAAAAGATGGAAGAAGGCTATGAATGTTCAAAAGGGCATCAGAGATTGAAATGGATGCTTCCTTAATATCTTTATTCATGGTCTAGACTATATCTGCTCGAGATCATCAGACAAAATATTATTTGGATTTCTAAGTAGTCTTCAAAGCCAACCACCAAAGACAGTAATATTATTTTCCGAAGGCTGCCAATGTTCAGGCTTACTTTCTTCTTGATGTTGGGTCATGAATTTCTGCAAGTCTGTTCTGAATACAAGGCCATATTGATGAAGTCCCTCTTGACATAAATTTAAATAAGAATCCTATCAAGAATTTACCCAACCTTATCCATGTATTTAACTAGCAAATATAAGTGTTGAATAAAAGAAAATTGTACTTAATACCTGTTTTCATTTCTAGAATCATGCTTTCTCATCAAATATCTTATACCTGAAAATTCCTGATTTACATTATAAAGGTGAAGCAGACAGTATGAATGGTAAGATACTGGGAGGAATGGAGTGAGAATGGATCCCATCAACTTATAATTGGATTAATTATCCCTTCATGTTGTAGGTTGGGGTTAGTGTGGTTAAAATTTACCATAAGAAAATATTTGAGATGAAAATATATCGAGTCAGTTAAAGTTGATACTTAGTTTCAGTTGCTTTTTCTAGGATATGCATTCAATTGAGCTTTCCACAGTTAATGAATCAACCAAATTTATCAAGGTCCTCTTTGGTTGGGGCTCTTCACTACTTGGAGTGTTAACTTGGTCCTTTCAGTAGTATAGATTTTGAAGGTCTCGTGCATGTTTTATGAAGTCCTCATCATTTCACTCCAAAGAGACTGTTAAAGTAACTCACAACATTATTCATTGCCAAATCGTGCATTTGACCTTGCTCACTACAAGTTTCTTTTGAAGCAGTGAGAATTTCACAAGGGACAATCATTTTAAACTGTACATCTGTATATGGACCCCCTTCATCCAGATCATATTATGGAGCACCCCTAATATAGGATTAAATGGGTTTCACATTTGTAATTTCATATTCACAGGTCTATATGGAAGTTTCAAGGAATACCATTTGTCAGTCACTCGCTTTATCACCTCCTCCCTTTTCATTCTCAAATAACTCAGTTCCTTCTCCAAGTGTTCCAAAGAGGTTCTTGCAACAGCTGATACCAAGAAAGGCTCAATAAGATGACTAAGAAAGGTAGAACAATGATCTAATGTTGAAAAACAATTTGGAGATATCAATAGAAAATGATCCCTTGGCATTAATAAGTACCTGCACTTGCCTTTAAGGACAAACAACATTGATGTCAAAGATAAAATATACAGGTAGTTCTGAAGCCAAAAGGAGCATAGAAGCAAGAAAAGGAACTGCAGAAGAAGAAACCAAGTTTCTTCATATTCTTGAATCAGTGGCAATGTCATAATTTCTGGGTGATTTAGATTTTGGTATCTTTGAGCTTTGGCAATGCTATTTTTCAGTTAGTTGGTGTCTCAGGAGTTTTAGAATTTTGAACACTTGAAGATGTAATCATGTCATTTTTTTTTTCCAACTTATCTGTCGGGGGTCAAAACTTCTTAGTTTTGTGTGACTTTAGTGTCATTAGATGGACTATTGAGTTATCCATCCAATAAGACCCATATTTTGTAAATCTTACATGTTTTTAGGGAGTTATAGACATTTTAGTAATAGGTTATCAGCCAACAACAAGATCTGAATTTTTCTATTTTTTAATCTATCTTGGAGTTGTTTTGTTTTGTTTAACTGTAGTAGAATTAGTCAATTAGTAATGGGTTATTAGATTTGCCTTAGGAGTTACAGTCCTTATGTTAGGAGGTGTTCCACAACATGGCTAGTTTTGTTTTTGAAAACAAAAAAACTGCCACATCAGCAAAATTGTATTGTTTTGCTGACATGGCAGTTGGTTTTGTTTTCAAAAACAAAATGAACCATGTCCTCGAACACCCCCTCATGTCCCAAAGGTTACTTATAGGTCTGTTTTGGTCCTAAAGCAATTAAGAGTTTCATTTGGATAGTGTTTTAAACTCCAACATCAGCATGGTCCTAGGCATGCTGCACATTAAAATGGAACTTCAATTATTTCCATGCTAGAGCATTATGTACCTCTCTACCAAAGTACCAACTACCAAGTAAGCGTGGATCAAGAAATGGATATAACGTAGAATTCCTTAGTAAAAGGATGGATATAACAGAGAATTCCTTAGCACCATATTTTTCTAGATCATACATTACCACTTCCTTACTAAAGTATAATTAACACTAATTCCTGAAGGAAATTACCGGACACTTGGATCAATTCGCTCATCTCAAACTCCGCAGCAAATATCATCTTCGTCAACCCCGATTCTCTCGTGGCAATCTCGTTCTCGATTTCATCACATTTCACAATTTCAGATTCTATCTCTCTTGTCGTCTGAATATTCGCCTCAATCTCTTCGTTTACCTGGTTGCGATAGAGAAAAAAAAAAAAAAAAAAACGAATAGAAGTAACAGATGCAAATAGTTGGAAGTAAATTTTCTTGAAACATTCGAACACCGTAACAAGGCAAATCAGACGCTAATCAAAAGCAAGCATCGTTCATCAATTAATGAAAACATTGAAGCTGGATATTTGATTTGAAAACCGTAATCCTTTGACAAGCCCTAGTAGAGAATGTACTTGGTCTAGCATGTCCTTGAAGGCCGATACTTGACAGAGAATATCTCCCGAATCCTCCATTCTGACCAACTCTTCACATAAACATTCCCCGCGCTTTTTTGCACTGTTATATGTTTTTTCAAGCACTCACACTCGATGCCCGTTTGGGATTGGCTTCAGCTTTGACTGATCTGCTTTCACTGAGCCGCTTTGAAGTACTTCAGCTTGATTGAGCTGCTTTCACTGAAGCCGCTATTACTCGAGAAGAAGAATTTCAATTACATCAGACTCATGCTTACCGTATTGATCATTGACGTTTATGATTGAAATCTCACAATTAAAAACAGCAATTTGTATTGATCAAAATGTTTGATGCAGACTAAAAATTTGTATTAATCAGGTAAAAACAATAATGGTCCGGTGTTTTAAAAAGCGTGAAAGGCATTCGCCTGAAGCGTGCAACAGCCATATGTCTCTTATGCTTTTTTTTATGAGGCGTGCTAGAGGCGTACGACTCTTGCGCCTCAAGCTTCTTTAAACAAAATACAGAGCCAAAAAGCCACAAACAAAGCCCTCTAACTTCTTGTACAGGACTTGTTTTCAGACCCATGCCAAGCCATCTAGAAATATCTGAAACTGCAATAGAGATTTTGTCCACAAATTACATACAGAAATTTTCTGGAAGATTTATGCTTGTAGGATTTCAACTGTTCAAAACCCTTAAATCAATTTTGGATCTTGTTTACCTCGCATTTTTTTTTCTTGTTAATCCTTGTACAAAAATTTGATGTTTGCTATACAACATTTGATACTTGTAAGGATAAAAATAGCTGCAAATTCTTGTCTTAGAGAGCTCAGTCAATCTATATACACCAAGCTCAGATAACAAACCTTCCTCATTCAACTAAATTGGCCAATTACAATGCTAAACAATTTACAAAAAGTATATCTTCTTCATTCCTCTCTAGGAATCCACCTGCTCCACCATAGGCTTTTTCTACGTCGGTTGAGCTGATCCATGCTCTCATTTAGTGTTTTTACAATCTTTCTCTGTAGACGAAGAGCTGAAGCCAGGGCATTCCGTTGGGCACTTGCCTTCTTCTTTGGTTCCACTTCCTGCAAGAAAGGAAAAGGAAAAGGTGAACACTGATACTCTTGGCAATTCTTTTGATGGGTAGAACTTTAGATTATCATTCAGATACAGACTCTGAGCTCCTGCAGCTGAGATTCAGTGAAGCCACCATCCTTCTTTGTCCCAGATTTTGCCATAAGGTTGATTACCCACTTGGCTGCTTCACTATAATCCTGCTGAGTGGCACGAAACAACTGTAGCCTCAAGTTCTGCATGAAGGATAAGGCCAACAGACCTTCCCTATCAAAATATGGATGAGCTAAAGCAGCTTTGGCACTTGTTCTCTGCCGTGCTTTATACCGAACCATTGATGTTAGAAGTTCCCACCCTATCCCACCATCTAAATCCAGTAACTCAAATCCTCTTCGGAGTTCTGATCCAGCGCGAGGCTCTACAGTTTTCCTCCATTCAGCCAAGTCATATCCACATCTTTTCAGTTGCCGATTAAATTGTATAAGGCTACTGTCAGTGCGCAATGATGGGAATGCCTAAAAGAACCATAAATATGTTGAATGAGAATAAACAAAAGAAAATCCCATAATGACTTGGGACTAGAGGATTAGTAAAATATATAGTCACTGAACTTGATATATAAGAATACATCTTAGGAAAATGACATGATAGCTTTTTTTTTAATCAATGGTTTAATGTAGCGTCTCATTTATCCCCTTGAAGAAAGGATTGAAGACCAACTCTCTGAACATCTAAATGATAGGGGTGTTATTGACTTAGACAGTTAATTCCAATGAGCATAGGTTCTGCCACATCTATTAGAAGTTCATTACAACCTGAGCTTATTCTAAGTGTTTCCCTTCAAATTATATTGTGCTCCTCAAGATCAATTACAGTCGTCCTAGATGGGACATGACCTGGCTAAAATGTTGGTGTTGAGAACAGTGCCTTTAATTCCAACGCATGTATGTGGGTCTCTTTTAGGTAGTTCCTATTTGGAAACCAGTATCACTTTCTTATTGGGTTTTCACGTGGTATAAGGGTCTTTTCACATCTATAAATATTTGTTTTCAGGTTATTTTTCAGTAAATGATTTTGGTCTTCCATGAGAGACCTTTTGGAATGCAAGATTTTTTTTGGGTTCTCTACCAGTTTTCTCTGGTTATGGGCTTTGGGGTTCTACATAACTGGGTCCTCTACCAGCTTTCTTGGCTTTTTGGTATAAGGATCCTCATGGGTAGGGGTGCAAGATCCAAAGTCTGATCCTATATTATCGGATTCGGATAGCCTCATTTCAGATCTTCGGGTCGAATCGAATCGGATAATAGGATCCTATCAGAAATTGGATCGAATTCGGATCATTCCCTATCCGATCCAATATATATGTTATTTATTTATTTATATAAATATAACACACACACACACATACATATGCTATTTATTTATTTATAAATATATTATTTATACTGCATTTTTGTAAAATTGTTATATTATTTTTTTATAAAAAAAACATGTATATATATGATCAAAATAGTTTGAAAAGATACTTTATTTTTTTTTTTGTTTCTCTTTATTTAAATTGTTATATTTTATTTTTCTTTTAATAATTTATTAAATTAAAAAAAATCAAATCGGATCGGATTAGATCCGAAGATCCGATGCCTCATCGGATTCGAATTCAAATCCATGTTTTTGAGATCCGATCTGCAATTAATAGTGTCGGATCAGATTCGGATATCCCTGATTTGAATCCAATCCAATTGGTTTACATCCCTACTAATGAGGAATTTTCAGTAGGGTGTTTCTCTTGAGAAGAACATTGTTTCAAGGAGCGAATGCCATTTCTGAAAAGAGATTTTCTCTTTGCTCTTTTGAGTTTGGTCTCATTGTAATCTTGTTTTGATTATTTGTAGATTTATTTTGATCAATTTTCAGACATGGACATATACATCCTGCCGAACCATGTAAATCTTGTGTTTTTGTGTGGTTGGTTATTTGTCTACTACTTTCTGTATTTTATTATTGTGGTGCCATCATTCCCATTATTGTCTTTGTGCACAACATTTGGCCCTATCTTAAGTGTCCTTCGAATTTTAAGAACTGTAACTAGGAATCGTGAGATGGGAAACAGATGAGGGAAATGACAGTGGTGTATAATATTTGAAAGCTCCAGAATAATCCAAGTGATCATTACTCTAATATGGTAAATAAACAAGCAGCCGTATAAAATATCCAAGGAATCATATGTTGCTTACCATTTGCAGGAATATGAGCCCAGCACTGTAGATATCAAACCTATCAGGTAAATTCATCTGTTGAAGAACGATACCATCACAACCACAGAAAATGGATTTTACCCTCTGAAACTAAGTTCAAGTAAAGGACAACCAAGTAGGAAAAGTCTCTATGGATATAGGACCTGCCACAGGACTGGGGACAAAGCAGTTGCCACAGGAGCTGAGGGAGCTGATGGAGTTTGTGTACTCATGATGTATTGCTCTGGTGCTGCATACCTGAACAAGAAAAGGACTACAGAAAATAAAAACACCATATAATGAAGAAAGCAGCGTTATGTCCTAAGGGTGAAATTTTGTAGTACAAAACTAATTTCAGGTGCATAGACTAGTGAAATGACATAAGCAACACATGCTGTCAGATCTGAATAATGTAGTGCAAACAACCTGAATTTGAGGTATTAGAAGGAAAAGAAGAGAACTCAGGGATATGGTGTAAAACAAAGAAATGACCAGTAGAATACAAGATGCTAGTGAATGACAAGTTACTCCCAACCATAGTGGCAACTAAATTCTATATTTAATTATTCTAAAATCAAATAGCAAAGTCCATTCCTTCTTTCAGACATTGAGTTTTGAGATTTCTGCAATCAAATTGTATATCCCTGCTAGAAACCAGTGAAATACCTAGAATCTTGTTCCTACCTGTTTAATTTAAATTCAAATTTAAACTAAATCTAGATAAGGCCTTTATTTATCTAATAAAAAATGAATAATAAATTCTAACTAAAATAGATAAGAGTGAAGCCTACATCATTTAATTAATTTTTTTGGAATGACAATAGAGATTAATTTGGATTGTAATTAATATAACAGTTCAGTTCTGCAATTACCTTGGGTCTAACAGAAACTCTTTTGGAATGTAGTTAATTCCCACTCGTAAATCAGCTGCAGCACCAAGGTCAATGATCTTAAATGTGCGAGACCCTGTTCAAGCTTAAAATGGAGGAGGGTATTTAGTTAACCTGAAACAGAAGAGTTGCAAAAGTTTACTAACAAAAATGTTTATTCTTGCCTTCAGAGAAAATAATATTCTGGGGCTTGATGTCTCTGTGAACAATCCCCGTTGAATGGAGTCCATCTAGAGCAAATAAAAGCTGTCTTAAGACTGTTTGAATGATTTTGTTTTCCCTCTCCAATCCCTTTGGCAAATCCTGGACCTCACCCAGAATCATTGCTTCGACCTGACATGGTTTATAACTAATACAGATTACCCATTGCCGGAAATGGAACTCAGCATGCAGCACTAACAAAAGGAGTGTGTTGTGCATCCATCTTTATTAGAAGTTTGAAACATAATAATATTTCATACAAATCATCATCATCCATGCTTTATCCCAACTATATTTCATACTAACAATGATATAATAAAATTATTAAACAAGTACGGTTAACGGCAAAATCAACATTTACTGTCGTACTGTAAGTTCCAAAAAGATGAAAAAGATAGGGCAAATTTAGTAAAATTACAGGCTCAACATTTCAACGTAGGAACATCTTAAGTTCACATTTAATGTTATCAAATGATCATTAATAGTAATATTCTCTGGAAATGTATAGCATGATTAGGCCTTAACCTTATACTTTTCATAACTGCAAGGAAAATTATCTAGTGCATACTGTTCATGGAGACAAGCAATTTCATTCTTCAATATTTGGTGCAACAACAAATTCAATGAACACTCAATTGATATTTAAACATAACCATGTTTAGAATACATGCACCTATGCTAGTCCTTCAGAAGTAGGGATGGCAATTTCTACCCTACCCGGTGGGTACCCGCCCCAACAGGGAGGTTTTTTTATCAATGACAGAAACTCATATTATTAATAAAAACCATGATTACAAACTCCGGGGAGAGAAAAAATGACTAAACTCTCCCCAAGAGAACAGGAAAAAGTTACAAATTAGCCCAAAACGATTGATCCCTTCCCACCCCCTGCTTTGCCAATGTATCTGCAAAGGCATTTGCAGTTCTCTTCACCCAATGAAACTGAACTTCCAACCCCCTGGACAACCACTTAACTTTCCTCCTCTCATTGGCATATTTCTAGAGTCCACTGTACTTCCCTAACCAGCTTAAAACCATCTTTGAGTCTCCTTTGACAACTAGCTTTTGAATATTCAGCTCCTTTGCCTTCCATAATCCTTCCATTATAGCATACATCTCAGCTCTAAGAGAGTCGCCAACCCCAATGGGACCTGAGTACATTGTGAACCTTCCCATTTTCATCTTTGAAGACACCTCTAACTCCAGAAGGTCCTGGATTGCCCTCACTACTACCATCAAAGTTTAATTTTATAAAACCAGAAGCTGGTGGTGACCAATGAGGACATGCAGTTGAATTAGCTGGTTCAGAATTTCCCACCTCCTTTCAACTGTTAAGCAGCATACCAATGGAGACATTAGCAAACAGATACAAGGATTTTAACCATTGTACCCCCCTAACTGTTATAACTTCAATGGTATCTTCTTTCTTCCATTCCTTTTCAGAAAAGATCCTTGAATTCCTTTCCTCCCATAGAGTCCAACATATGACAGCTTTCACACATCTCCACATGATTTTACCACCCCTTTTATTCGGCCACCTAAAGAAAGAAGTAGCAAACAATACTTGTATACTTGGAGGAGGGGTCCACCTGTAACCAAATGAAGCCATAAACCACTCCCAAATATCAGAACCAAATGGGCAAGAAATTAATAAGTTATAGGGGCTTTTACCATTAGCCTTGCACAGGATGCACCAGTTTGGAGACAAGCACTAATTAGGCCTTTTCCTTTGGAGTAGTAGGTCACAAGTGTTGCATCTTTCCAAGAAGGCTTCCCAACAAAAAGCTCCAATCCTTGGAGGGATCGGTTTACCCCATACTTCTTTTACTGGGAAAGTTTGGTCAATGCTATTGGCAGGTGCATCAAAGACTTAAAGAAAGAAGCAAAAAAAAAAAAAAAAAAAGAAAAATCTAGAGGGAGATAAGGTCCAAATTCTACCATCCCCTTTTGAAGGGTCCGATACCACCCCATTCAAAATCTGGATTAGATCCAAAACATTCCCAAGTTCTGAATCCCTAATGCCTCTTCTAAGACCCAAATCCCAATCAAACCCAAAGTTTGACTCAAAAGGGACCAAAAAATTAGACACAAGTTTCCCTTTATACTGGGAGAGAGAAAATAAAGAGGGAAATTGATCTTTCAAAGGCACACCTCCAACCCAAAGATGCTCCTAGAACTTCACCTAGTTCCCAAAACAAAGACCATACCTGATGTTCCAAGGAGAAGCACTTATAGTCCTTGCCAAAACCCGAGTCCCAACCATCATCTGCCTGCCCAAGAATACTTAGTATTACCTTAACCCACAACTTATCCCTATCCCCTACTAGCCTCCACAACCATTTTCCCAGGAGTGCTTCATTTCTCTTCCGAATGTTACCTAATCCCAAACCTCTTTCAGCCATGCTCCTTATTTTCCATTTCGCCATATGGTCTTTGGGGTGGGGACGGGTTTTGGGATTTTACAATCCGTATGGGTACGGATACGTTATTAGACTAAACCGACCCTCCCCAACCCACATATTGTTGGAAGGCATATGAACTTATGTACTAGGTGTTGAATGTAAAAATATTTTGAATGTTATGTGAATTAATTAATAGTTTATGTGTTTCAAATATTTAATCAAATAATTGGAAATTTTGATGTTTGTTCATGCTAATTTACTTGTTATTTCTCATACATAACAAGAAATAATAGGAAATTAGATGTAGGTTCTAGACCCAACCTGCCAATCCGATCCACCCCACCCTCAAATGTGGGGAGGGTAGGGTTGGGGAGGTTTTGCATTTTCATGTGCGGGGAGGGTTTGGATTCTGAAAATCCAACCCACTATGGGTTTTGGGGAGGGTACGGCTGTACGGATTGAGAAGTCTAGGGAGATAGGTAGAGTCTAGAATTTACAAAACCCTCCCCAAACCCACTCCATTGCCATCCCTATCCAGAAGAACACTTTACATGGTCTAAGTGAACCTGGAACATGTCCATCCATGCTCATTGTGACTCACATTTCCATATTCTGAGGAGTGTCTGGAAGAAACATAAAAGATCTCTTTGTGGTTTATTAAATGATAGCATTCAATTCCTGTGGATTGCAATAACTTGTAAGATATCATCTATATTGAAGCCACGGGATGAAGACATATTAGAGTCTACCATTTCTACATTTTGTCTTGTTCAATACATCCAATGACTTGGTCCTACTCCTCAACTCTTCAGTTAGATGTTAAAACCTAGAAGAAGCAATAATTGAAAGAACAAAAGAAACTTTTGTGGAATTTTCTCATTTATTCCCCCTACAGTGGGAGGACCTAGCATTAAGTTTACAGATTGTTTCCATTTCTCTTTTCTTGATTTATAATAGGTACCTAGTGGTTTGCACTTTGCAGACAGTGAGGAGCACTTTGAGTGAATTAAAGCTTGAACTATGGAATAAACCCAGCAGTAAAGCTGCCAAGGGAAGGAGAAATTTCAAATGAAGGTATATGAATGACAGAAGCTGGATAACCAACACCATTGTCAGCCCTACATTTTTACCACAACCAAACCTGTGAATTGGTTGGCCATGATATTTTCATTGGGTAATAGTTCAAATTTTATTCCAAGTAACTACTCATTCCCCCAATCCCCAGTAAGGAAAACCCTGAATGCATGAACAGATTAATTTCTATTTGCAACAGACAGGACGACATAACTTTCGAGCTCAACAAATGAATTCTACAGTGGAGTTATCACTAGAACTATTCCATTGACAATCTTGTGGAAGCTAAAAAATGGAAATACCAACATTGTAAGGGAAATCTTTACTCAGCATCAGGTCAGCAAGAGTAGCCTCCCCTTCAAACCTCCATATGAGCCAGTACTCCCCTTTTTTTCTGGAAGAATTCTGAACCAAAAGTCAAGAAAGTAGAATTAAGAACAAATAATGCGAAAGAATGAACAGAATCTCTCTCATATTGGCAAAAAAAAAAAAAATGGATAATATCAGAATGCTGAAACACCTCAAGAAAGCCGTATACAAAATCCGCACAGCTACTAGCACAAGCCCTTCGGACCCTCTCATTCATCCAAATCTCCACTGCGCCATATTCACTAGCCTTCTTTAACACTAGATCACTTTCCTATTTTGGCAACCACCAAAACCCATAAATTTTAGACTATCCATTTCCCAATTCAGTCCAAAGGAGATGACTTGGATGCCTTAATTAATGTAAAATTAACTAAAATTCAAAATTATCACTTCCTAAACAGCAATTAATTGAAGTACACCAAGCATGCAGACCTAGACGAGCAGGAATGACAAATTAGTACCTTAGAACCAGGCTTCTTTGCCAGTGAAACTCTATAAACCACCCCGAAAGAACCTTCACCCAATTTCTTCCCCAGAACAAAGTCATCCTGCCAAAATCCAATATCCGAAAATTCAAAACCAAAAATGCATATCAACCGGAGATGATCGAAGCATAAAAAAGAAGAGATGATCGGAAAAAGCGAACCTTTCTATAAGTAGGCCTGAAGAGTCGCTCTACAAAAGCAAGAACAAACATATCCCAAAAACCAGGAGCCACACCAGGGGTAGCCCAGAGATAGGAGATAGCACCCAGGGCTAAAACAACTCCAGGGGCTGTAATGGTGAGACCGTTGGACTTGGGAAGGGTGCTCCGATAGATAATGTCACCACACTCCATGACAGTGCATGGAAGACCAACGCCGACGCCGACGAATAGGTGGTGAACGAGATCCAATACATCACCTCCGGCACGTACCACGGAGACGGTCTTCTTTCCTGCGACGAATTTAGTTGAGATTCTGATTTCGAGCTTTCTTCCGATAAACGGAGATGAGGAGACAGTTGGGGTCTTGGATTTCAAGCGGGAGCGAAGACCAATCGTCACTCCAACTCCTGTAACTGTAGCCATTTCCGTGTAGGCACTAGAGTCTAGACTAACGGCTCTACGACACTCAGTTCATATGGATTATGGATATTCAGTACCTTGGCTTTGTAACGAGATTCTATGATTTTATTTTTCAGTTTTCCATTTATAGTGAGATCTGAGACCTGAAGGTCTGAAACCATTTGTGTGGAGGTGGGAGCTTGGCTGGATTGGTGAGCGATACAGACCACAGGTTACACGTAACTGAAACTTGAAGGCCTGAAGCAATTGAAGGTCTGTCTGAATCTCTCTCGTCCTTACTTTGGACCGGCTTGGATTGTTAGTACAAGCTAACGAACCGGGCCTGGTTAATACGCTTTCTGGGCATTGGATAAGCCGATGAGATCTAGCCATCTTGGGCATCGGGGGATTCGGGGCGGCTAGACTGAGAAATGGATGCCAATGTCATTGGGTTGGCTTTGCGCCTGTCAGGGATTTGGACCAATTTGGAGAAGACCTAACCAGATGAGCTGGAGATGAAATCTTGCACACCAGTTGGCAGAATTCACATCTGCGCCCCATTCAGGGTGCCACACAAACGCCCCACAGCACATTCTAACCGTGCATTGAAAACATCTTCCAAAGACAAGCATGGGAGATATTCTCGATGCACGCTGAGATGTGTTGTGAGGCGTTTGTGGAGCACTCTTTGTGGGGCACAGATTTTAACTCAGTTGGGAGTGAACACGTCAGTGTTCTGTACATGTGGGCCATAACTCACACTTTTTTTTTTGTTTTTGTTTTACTCCACCTCAGAATTCTGATCTGAACTACATATCTATAATGAATCAAAATTATAAATACCTTCACCTATAACACTTATACCCCCTGCGGACTGCGGTATAGTCGAGCTAGAATTTCTGGAGTAAACTGAACAGTAAAAACCCTTTTTGTTTATTGAACACTAACATATTCAATGCCCATTTAGGAGTGCTTTTGGCATTCTCGGCTAGATCCCGTATGAAAATGTCAGAAATTGTGTTTAGTGAAAATCCATAAAACTAATCACTGTGTTTCAGATTTTCAGTCAGTAGAAAATGCAGTTGAAATGGGAAGCTACTCCATGTATAGTTTTTCTGGAATATGGCTGAATCGCTGCACCTTGCCTCCAACCTAAAAGTCCATCCCAAACAAGCTCTCGGTCTTGATAGGTTGCTCAGTCTGGGTCAAGAGAAAAGATTAGTTAAACATGATGGTTGTTCAGTAAGCTGCGTAATCAATGATAATTTTTCCTATCAGTAATAAAATACATGAAACCCACATCTCATTGCTCATGAATTTATTATTGACGTGGAATGTTATCTTTAATTCCACAGCCCACTGTTCAGACACCGTGTTCAGCTAATCCGAATTATGATGGCATTTTCTCAATTGTGGGTTTGGTATTTAGAATATAATTTGAAGTTTGAATAAGCATTGTGCAAATGGTATCCATAATAAATTGGATTGAATATAGATTCACCTTAATCTAATCTGTTATAATTCAATGCAGCAGTTGTTTTCAACCCGTTATTGGTCTAACCAGTCAGACCGGTGGTCATGTTACAATTCTGATTTGGGTCAACCTTTAACCCATTTTATTACAAAACTGTTTAACACGTTTAATGGAATACCAGTTTTTTTTTAAAACAATTTATAATTTATAATGATGACATCACGGGGTTGGCCCGTTAAACTGGATGGTTGAACCAACTATCCATAAATCCAAATAAAAAACGATTCAACCTCTAAAACTGCGGCAATGATAACACCACTGGGTTGGTTTCATACAGTGTTGAGTGTTGGCATGGAAAAACACCAAATCACCGCCGTCTGTGGGAATCGAACCGACGACCACATGGTTAAAAGCCATGCTCTCTAACGGCTGAGCTAAGACGGCATGCATTTAAGAATAAAGGTTCCTACATACAAGTTAATTTGAAGCTACTTTATCCAAAACATACAATAACCAACTACTTTTTGTTCATTTTATCAACAAATTAAAATAATTTCATACGGGTCGGTTTATTGGGTTTTCCCCAACCGACCCGACTTGGTCGGGTTAACTGAGGTGGAAACCGAAACCGATCCACTGGTAGACAAAACTGACCTGGTCGGTTTGAGTCGGGTTGGGTCGGTTTGGATCGGTTTCGGTTTTGTTCCTGTACAAAAAGGACAGAGAAGCCTAGAACTAGAAGGAAATTTATTTGAGAATATGGGAGAGTTTGGAGAGCAAAGTTCAAAAATCAAATGATGTCTTGAGTTGATGACTTGAGGGGGGCAGACCAAGTTAAAGAACAGAAGAGAAGACAAAAGTTATCAATAAAATAGAAATTCAAACTGTTTTATAAAAAGAATGCTGAAATATTTATATTTCAAGAAACTTTCTAAATTCTAATATAGATAAAAAAATGACACCTAATTCTAATTGTAATTGTCTAATGGGTTGCCTATTTGGTGTAAAAGACTATAGAAACTAGGATAGATACAATTTAAGTAAAAAATGACACCTAATTCTAATAAAAGACAAAAGTTATCAATAAAAGTTATTAATAAAATAAAAAGTCAAACTGTTTTATAGAAAGAAGGCTGAAATATTTATATTTCAAGAAACTTTCTAAATTCTTATATAGGTAAAAAATGACACCTAATTCTAATTGTAATTGCCTAATGGGTTGCCTATTTGGTGTAAAAGACTATAGAAACTAGGATAGATACAATTTAGTTAAGTAGGAACTAGAAGACTAGTTAAGTAGGAACTACCGAACTAAAAGACTAATTGGTTCGGGTCGGGTTGGTTTCGGTTTTCTTGTAACCGACACAATATATCGGTTTATGAATTTGCCCAACCCGAAACCGACCAGTGCTGATGAAAACCCGACCGACTCGGGTTGGGTCGGTCCGGGTTGGTCGGTTTGGTCGGATTGGGCCTTCTTATGAACAACCCTAATGCTGTCTATAATTAATCAAATGAACACAAATGTTTATTTCCTTTGGCTACAAAAATCCTTCAATATATTTATTCTTCAAAAATCTCTAAAAAATAAAAAAATATAGAAAATTTGGGCACATTTCTTATATTTTATATTAATTATATTAAAGAAAGATAATTATAACAAATAATAATTCAGTCTATGAATGATGGAAATGAAATATAAAATTTAAAATCTATTAAAAATGAAATTGTTTTCTTGTTTGGTGGTAAATCAATAATTCATATTTTTGTGGGTCAAATATGTCAATTGAACAGTGAAAACTCAGTTTGCCCTGAGGTCAAGCTAAGCCCTTAGGAATCCCAAGCCCACTAACTTATAAAACATGTTGATAAAATGCAAGGTTCAAAATTTCGATAGTATTGAGTCATATCGGCAGTTTCCCGATATGTCCCTACAATGGATGTTTTCGGGTCTAACCTGGTTCAGGGGGTAGAAGGACCTTAAATCAACCCCTTTGAACCAGATTGAAAAAACACTAAAAAAAGAAAGAACGGAACCTCAATAAAGGTCAATACACCCCTACCGGTGTATCAGCCTATATTACTGAAAAGTGAAAAACTCGGGTTTGCCCCGACTCTGAGGTCAGGTTAGGCTTGGGCTAAGGCCTCAGGTAGCCCAAATCTGACCCAAGCCCACTAACCTTCTAAAATATGTTGATCCAATGTTTATACGCTTCACTCAGTGACTATTTATATATTGTTCACCTTTTAGAGTATTATTTGCTATATGATCAACTCCAGTTTACACCCATGCATACATAAGCATGTAGAAGCATATACATGTACACGTATTATCTAATGAGATTTGCATGTATAGCTGAAAGAGTACAAATACAAACATATAGAATAATACAAATTACAATGTTTTGTATCCTATATATTTGTATATTTGTATTTGTATTCCTTTCAAATTGAGCCTATTTTTCTTTAAGCTTAGTTTGGAAAGAGTATAAATGCAAATATATAATACAAATACATATAAAATAATATAAAACATAAGGTTTTACACTTTGCATATTTGCATTTGTACTCCTTCCAAATTAAACATTAGGTTCAGTTTGAAAATAATGTAAATGCAAATATGTATGGTACAAATACATATAAAATATAAGGTTTTGCATTCTACATATTTACATTTATATTCCTTCCAAACTGAGCCTTCATTATATTTCTACAAGTCTGAAAACCTTAGATTTGAACCAAGCTGCTCAGGCCTTCATAAGCCCAGCCCAGATGGTTGGGTTGCTCTCCATTTTGGAGGCAACCCATTGTACCTGAAATGCACCCCTATTCTTACCACTTAATTCTCATGGGGTGTTTGGTCGTGTTGCTGTGTGTTTATTGTAATTCCATTTCAGTGATACATCAGCATCAATAGGCAATTATGGTTAAATCTTGTTTAGTAGGTTGATCGAGTACAGAAAATGACATTTCCTTTGTTGCATATCTATTTCACCTATGTGATGACTAGTGGTATTTAGGCCTTTTTATTTAGTTTTTCAGGAATCTATTTTTCTGGGTAAATACACTTATCCAAGTAAGTGCAATTATTCATGTTTTTTTATTTAATTTATCCAAATAAATATATTTTGTGGAGCATTTTTTATCTTTCTTTTTCATTTACCCTCTACTTGGGAAACTCAAATTACCCAAGTCTAAGAATACTTGAGAAAATCAAATTTTCTGTAGATCCCACATGTTTCTAAAATAAGAAAATGGATAAGTTGATCAATAAAAACCACAATTACATTGATCAACTCCCCCCTTCAAAATCCCAAAAACAAACTGGCCTTACATGTAATAAAACATAACAAACAATTGTTGCATGTCACTTTATGCCGATGACCACTTGTTTTTAGATTTGATAAATAACCTCAACAAACACACCACGACTTCATTCTCTAGTCAAGCCTATGCCAATTTTCCTCTTTAAATGGGCCTGTATTGTGCATTCAAGACCCAAGCCTGGCCCCATGTACACAATTAAAATGTAGATTTAGAATTACAATAGTATGTGATGGAGCGCAATTCGGTTGGTCCTAGCTGTCAACGATCTTGCCTCTGACTGGAGCAAAAGGTGCCTGAAACGGGGAAGAAAGCAAGTAGTCTCCGGGGAGGAACTCGGTGAGAGTGCTCTGAAGCTCAAGTTAGTATCTTCTTAAAGGCAAGATAAAAAACTAGATGGCGCAAAGTTATCACATACCTCCTTCTTGGGGGGAAGAGAGCCTTTTATAACCACTTCGCGCACTCACTCCCAAGCTCCTGTCAGGTCGGGTATCATT